TGATGATGATATTGAGAATAAAAAACTTAAGTGTCATAAAAATAAGCCATTGAAGAAGTATCAAGCATCAGTAACCTGATGCAGTGATGCCAGATTGGCAATGCAAACCATACTTGCTTCACTAAAGAAATAGAAACCTAAAATTGTTAACTAACAGCAATCATGATTTTAAGTGAATCTGAAGATTCCTGTTCGTTGTGTGCTCACCCCATGTCCCACTTGATGCAAAACCGTGTGCATTACCACATACATTTTTATTGAAGTTCTTACTGGTATAGTTAAGTTGTTTGGCTGGTTAAATTTTGTTACACTCAGCATAAGGCTTGCTCCAGACATGCAAGTTAGACAAACAGTCAAACACTTATGATGTCTTTCTAATTTGAGTAATTTCTTAGACTAATACAGAGCAGCACCCCACTCCCACCCCGAGGCCAAAAAAAAATCCTACAACAAAAGAAGACACAAGTTACATTACTATTCACCTTTCCTATTAGTTACATGGTATGAATGGACATGCACTTCTTAAAAGTAAAAACACAGAAAACATGTTAGAAACACTCACTTATGCATGCATAAATTTCAATTGATAGTTTAAATATTTCTTGTTAACAGCACACTAAGACAACACCAAACCTGCACCGTAGGCAATTCAGATGTAGTAGACTCTGGTTTCCAAGATGGAGCATGAGGTGCCGGTGGTTGGCTGTTTGCAGCTGTGTATCCGCCACTCACACCAGGAATAGGACAACTCAAACTAGATGAGTTAGAAACAGAAAGGTTTTCTGTCCCAGGAGCACAGGTGACTTCTGTCTGAGGTGGAGTGTAATAGTTTGCCCATTGGTTATATTGTTGCTGATGTTGTGAAGCAGGAACCGTAGTTGTAGAACCATAGGCAGCAGCTGAATCTGAACTGTAGGTATGATATTGCTGAGAAGGATATGTTGCATATTGATCATACTGATTACTGTAGCCACTTGGGTAACCTCCAGCTGTCTGATAATTACCGGGATTGTAGTAAGTGCTTGAATAACTTGCAGTCCCAGCATAAGATCCAGTATTCTGAAATGAGGAAAGAGGCTGATAAGGAGCACCTGTATTTTGATATGCTCCTACGGGTTGAGCATATGATTGATTAGACTGCTGATGATAGCCATTGTAGTAAGCTGCATAACCCGCATTGTTGTAGCCATATGGATTGGTGCTTGGATAAGTGGAATAATTACTGTAATCTTGAGGAACACCTGCTGCTACTGAACTCGAGGCCGCACTAGTAGATGCCACACTTGATCCATCTTGGATGTTTGTAGAAGTAGTATTTGCTTGTTGATCATGGTGATAACCGGGATTGGAAATAACACCATTCTCCCTGGCATAGTTATCAACTCCATGAGCAGTCCATGATGCCGCTACAGAGGTAGGAGGGGCATAATACGACGATGCATAATGTTGGCTTGCATCAACAATCTGATGATTCTGACCATTAGAAGAGATAATTCAGACATTAAAACAATGAATGGCCATATATAATATATCAAGTGCATGTTTGGCCCAAATAAGAGATAAGAGGCAAAATGACCTCTTTTAGAAAGAATTTATTTTTAAAACACACGCGCGCGCGCATTTTTCAGTGGACCTTTTAAGGATGTGAGAGGTAATTTTGAAAGAGTAAAAAGTTCATCAAACACCCTCCTCTTCTTCAAAAAGAGCTTTTCAAAGAATCCTCAAGTTGGAGCTTCATAAAAAAGAGACTGGTAGCCTCTTAAATAAGAACTTTGTAAAGAAAACCTATTCTTCCCAGCTTTATGGCTTTTTGGATCAGAAAAGCTCCAATAAGCTGAAGGCCAAGGAAGCACCATTTCACAAATTTCACCATGAAACCAAAAGATACAGGTGCAGTATATCGAGAGAAGAAAAAGACAAGTTGCAAATAGAAGTTTCCATCTTCAGCACACTAGGCACAAATATTTTTCTGATCTATTAGCAGGCCTAAGAATTCTACATTACTATTTTCACTTTGCAATTTTAAGTTGGCATATGGCAACCAGGAAATTCAATACATTCAGAGCCCATATGTAAAATGAATGGCATTAACAGTGATAGGCAATTAGCAAATTAAATGCATCTGCAGCAATATTGAAATAATTGAAGTTCAATACTTATAGTCTTCGACTGCATACAATTTGGGTTTACAAATATGGAAGACATTGGCTTCCCAGTCCCTAAAAGGAAGATGATCAAATCATTGTCTATTTGTCTGTTCTTAGGTCATGTTCACAATCTACTTATGCATGGTTGCAAATAGATATTTAGAAAGAGGCATATAATAAGGCCAGTATTGCATCTATAATTCTATAAACCTCACAAGTGGAAGCATCAGAGCAAAGAGAAAAAATAGCAAATTTCTTTCTGCAAGCAAAAAGAGGATATGTCCTCAGTGACTCCCCTCAGGCCCTCAGTTTAACACAAAATTAGAAAGCAGAAATATCTCTATTTCACATTATACTGGAAGTCCTTTTATGTTGTATATGAATGCTTAATATTACTTTTTAATTAAAACTTTATCCCATTCATGAACTGAAACTTATCAGGCTGAAAGGAGTAGTACTTCGTTCCTTCTGAAAGTTTGTTATGTTATGGAAGGATGAAGTACTTCATTGTAATTGGGCAGGGATGAATTAAGAGGAAAAAGCACCATCCCATTTTAGTGGGATTAGGCAATGTCATTTGGATATACAGCTCAACTACCGTTATGGCATTTGACAGCTCTCGGGATGAACTCATTTTGCCAACAACCTTTAACAGCAAGTATTTGCTTTAAATTGCATCTATTTAAGCAATTATTTTCCTCATTGAGTGAGTTTTACTTGAAACTTAAGCCATATCTTCCTAAAAGAATCATCTCAAGAAAATACAGTCCCCCCCATGAATTTTCCCTTTGTTTCTACTTTCACGGTCAGATCATTAACCTCTAAATCTCTAATCAATTCATATAACAAGACAACTAAAATCAAGCATAAACAGCCACTAATGCATCACACTTTGACAATTTACCTCCTGCAAATTGGGCATGAAGGTAGGTGCGGCGTCGGCAGCTTTGGGTCCTTGATTCATCATCTCCTCGTTACATCCCCTGCAGAAAACTGAAGAATCCAAATCAATTAATTAAACACGTACAAGAAATGCAAATTCCAACCCTAACTGATCCCCTTTTTCCAACAAGAAATCTAACCTGTAAAAGAGAACAGTAACAAATCAGCTCGAACAAGTAACTCCTCTTCCTTGCGTATTAACAACAGCAGATTGAGACGAAAAAGGTATCAAAAAGATATGACACAGCAACAGGAAAAAATAAAATACAAATAAAGAAACAACAAAAAGAAAACTGTCTGTATGCGAATATGAATATCGGAGAATTTGCAAAACGGAACGGTGAATGGAGCAGAAGAAGGTCGTCGATGCAGAAGGAATACAGAAAGAGGTCTTTGGATTTGATTTATATGCGACTGCTGTATTGAAATTGGGCGTGCATAGCATATACACAGTATTATTGTTGATTTACATTTTCGAGTTTATTTATTATTGAGTATACAATATTTCAACCCGTTGTCTTCGTCGGGTCGTGTTTGGAGGCTCTGTTTGGGCACAAAGGGAAATCGATGGGAGTGCGGGAAAATTATTTGTGCACAATTTATTGAAGTGTATTCAATTCACCAATTTTCAATAGACTAAGAACAAGGTCAATAATGATTTTTTGTTAAGTGAATTAGAGAAAATAGAGAGTAAGAGAGGATAAAAAAAATGCATAATTTGAATTGTTGTTGAGTCTCTACGGAGAAAAAAAATATGATTGGTGGTGCGTGTTGTATACACCGACAACGTCTAACGAGCATGTGTACTACACGGATCTAGTAGACATATTTAATGTAATTATTTTCTTTTCCTGGCCCTAAGCTATTATTCGCATTGCAATTTTTGTCTCTAAGCTATACTAAAGTTGTAAATTTCGTCATTAATGTTTTGTTAGTAAACGGACGAAAAAAGAGCAATTTTTTTTATTATAATGAAGGGGGTATACCCACATATACAATCTATATATTACATCAATAATATACTTCAGTATTTCACTAAGGCTCAAACCCATCACCTCTCATAGAGGGGAACAACTTGGTATTATTGCACCACAAGATTCTTGATTGTTAATTGCGAAAATGATCTTTTAACTATGCAGTTTTTTACAAAAATGATCAACTTATAATTTTACATAATATAGTCCCTATCCATACAAATTGTACTTGGATTGTCATCCACTTATTTGTCCTAGTGACACCAAAGTTGCGTCCCAAGTTTAGGGTATGATTTATGCTTAGGTTGAATTTTTATTTTGTTGCGTATTTGCAAATCAGCCACAATGCTACTCTACATACTCTTAAATCAAGTATTCTAAACCCCGTTAGAAAAATATTGTAAAACAAGTTCAATTGATAAAATATTGGTAAGAATCAAACTCATTATATTTAAGTACGAAAGTCATACTCTACTAATCCGATTATCTATTTTTGGGAATTGTTTTGGATTGTAATTTTATAGCTAGCTCTTTTCAATTTTATCTTCATTTGCAAGAATAGTATGAACACATAGAATTGGGTATTATCAAATTTAAAGATCGTTTATTAACAATAAATCTTGTCTTGATATACAAATACACGAATCAAGTATGATTTGTACATTCGTGAACTATAAAAAGTAAAATTGTAAGTTAATAATCAAATTAGTAAAATCTGCATAGTTTAGTATGAATTAATTAGTTTATTAATTTGATTTAATTAGATAATTGCATAGTACAAGTGAACAAATTTCCAAAAAAGATACTCCGTATCTATGAACCCATCCAAGAGATTGAAATGACACCACTTGAGATGCTTGGAAAGAAGATCAAGGTGCCCTTGCAAAAATTTTGATGCTCTCATATCAACCGGAAAAAAGATGGTGGTTCAATTTGGACAACCCATCGACACTAGCGGACTGAAGGTGCTGCGGCCTGTTATCCTTCCACTGCAGAGAGGAGGAGGTGATCGCTGCTCTGTGAAACCAGCCTGACGCGGTGCCCTCCGATCTAAGGGCCGAGAGGCCTCCGCCTTCACAGAGACTCCACGGCCGGACTCACCACTTGGAATGGGCAGACCAGTATATTGCACCCCAAGCCCAGCCTTTAAAGTAAGGCCAAATGTTCCACCATCTTAATGCTCCCACTTGGGTTACAGGCTCGCGCTACCGAACCCAGCGAACAAAGTTTCTACCTGCGGACTTATTAAGAAGAAATTTTCCTCATCTCTTTCCGATGTGGGAAATTGTGCGAGCCTTTCATGGGGAAAAATGGAGTAGAGAACTCTGATGTACTTGTGCTTTTGCCTGGTGTTTGACAGATATGAGATCTGTGTTGTATCATTGTTCATCAAAAACTTAGGAATGTAGATGAAGCCTTGATTTTTATTTTTGTAATGGAAATTGTATCATTTCTGTTCAAGAGGGGCTTATACGTGAAGGAGAGACGTAGCCTGGAAGCTTTACTTCACTGAACGGAATGGCAGAGATGGGTTAGCTTTGATTCATTTCCATTATCAATTTCATTTCACCTTGACATTATTTTCCTACATTTTTTTTATTTAGTTTAAATTGTGCGGGCTGAAGTTTTAGAAATGAATTGAAGTTGCAGCGGCGGTTTGTATAAATTGGTTATTTGGAAGCATTTGGTACTGTATATGCAAAATTTAGTTGTTTTGATTATTTATTGAGTTTAGGGGAAATTAGGGTTGTGATTTGAGATTATGCATAAAGATTTGTTGTCATGTTAATTTGTGTGCAATTTGATCGTTTTACGGATAATGGATAAATAATGTAGGCAGTTTACATAAAGGCAATTGCGATGGTGCAAGAGTATCAACTATCAAGCAGTGCTGCAGATGCTTCAGACCCTTCAATTTGAGGTGTTTCCAAACAGTACCTTAACTTGGGCAGGTGCTGTTATCCATGGTATGAGCTTTGATTTTTTGGATTTGAAGAACATGATTGAGAAATTGCTTTGCAAGTTTTTGTTGAGTTATCAAGTTTCTAAGTTGTATATTGCCATTCTAATTTCCAATTACTTGAAGTCTTGAACTAAGTAATTCTAATGGAACATGTTAACACTTCTATTGTTCTGATATATTAGGACATGGCAGGATACCAGACTTTCATTCGTCTTGATTGCTCAGTTCGAATCTTTCTCTGTTTTATATGCTTAGCTTGTTGATGCTTCGGCTATCTTTCTATTTGCTATTGTCCACTGGTTGAATGTTAATAGTTTGGGTGTCAAATGAAATATCTAAATTCTAAAGCTATGCAGCCTTTATAGATTGGTGAATGTTTTAGATATATGCTGCCTTTATCTTGACTGGTGAATTTCTTGCTGCCACTTTGCACTTGAACGAGATGGAAAGAGAAGAGAATTTGCTTGCGGCTTTGAGGCTTTTGCATACTTTGACAAGGATGGAAGTAGGTATATAACCATTGATGAGCTTCAACAGGCGTGCAAAGACTTTGGTTCGGTTGACGCTTCTTTGGAGGAAACAATCAAAGAAATTGATAAGACCATGTAAGCATGCATCATATCATCTTTAAGTGCTCATATATTTTATGAATGCTCTTGAAAATGCATGAAATGATGAAACCTTAGAAGACTTATACACACCCTCACATCATAGACTTCTGAAAGTATTTTATGAATGCTTCTGAAAATGCAAGAAATTCTAGCCACTATTAAATCACCACCATTTGCAGGTGTTGGACTTGGCCTTTCACTGGCATTCGCCCACAATCCCCCCTCCCAGCACCAGCCAGCCTTAAATGCTATTGCTGAGACTTGAATTCGGTCGTTAGGATCAAGGGCTTACCACTACGCCAAAAGTTATACCTAGTAACGAAGGCACAACTTTATTCCTTTTACCGTGACACGTTTTCCAGAGCTAGGGTGCTGGATTTGGCCCTTACCGACCTCCGCCCAACATTCATCATGTCATTTGTTACTGATGCATGTCTGCAGTTTTCTAGCCATTCATCACTGTCTGATTTATCACTACGACACCGTGTGGCATGAGATTGATTATGATTGCTTTGAGTTGAATGTGAACTTGGATTTTGATTGTATAGGATGGGCGAATTGACTATGGAGAATTTGCAACAATGATGAGGAAGGGAAACATAGGAATTGGGATAAGAGGCAATTATGTATATATGTCCATTCTTCGACATTCATTTATGTGTGTAATTTGTTTGATCTTTTTGTTGCTATATCTGAAATTAAAATTACCATTGACAAAGCTTAATAAATCTGGTTGTTCTTATTTTTTTTTACATATTATTAACATGTGTGGGGTTCAAAATTGATTGGAATTTAAGGATGAAAATGAGTAATGATTTGATATTGGTAGGTCAAATGATTGTGGTCTGTTTCATTGATTGATCAAATGCAGCCTTAGTCTGTTAATCAACCAATAAAATTTGGATCAGAACTAAATTTGCCTCTTATTTCAGCTTTATTTAAATTGGGTTACGGTCTGCGTGGTTAGTGCTAATTGTTATGCTGTGAAATCATGAGGTAAACACGGTTCTATGTTCATAATTATAAAACTTTATGTTCATAGTCTTTGAATTTCATATTCACAATTATTAAATTATATATTCACAATTACAAAACTTTATGTTCATAATTACTGAACTCTATATTCATAATTATAAAACTCTATTTTCATAGTTTTTAAACTTCATATTCACAATTATTGAACTCTATATTCATAATTACAGACTCTATGTTCATAATTATATACTCCGTAACTCTATGTTTATAATTTTAAAACTCTATATTCACAACTATGATAAGGTGGACACGGTTCCACAGCATAATTTGCCCTTTTTGAATGGATAATTTTAGTATTTTCCTTTTAAATAAGAACTTCTAAAGTGTATTTACTTATTTGATGTGATTAAAAGAATGAATACAATTGTGTAATAAACAAATTACCAAATTGAATTTTGAATTATGATTATGGAGTTATTAATGATTAATGATACGATTAAAGAGTGATAAATAGGTGTGCAAACGTGGCCTCTCTCTGAGTTATGCTTAGAGAGTATCTCCCAAACGTTCTAGGACTTTCCTATTCCACTATGGCGGTTTCCATCCCACTACTGCGATCCTCTTTCCTCCACGACATGTGGTTTCGTTTTTATACACGCAGTATGTGCATGTGTATCATCATATATGGTTCATTGGCCGGCGTTTTCATCTACGATCATCTTACGTACGATCTCATCTGCGTTAAATTGGCTCAAGAGTGTAGGTCTAAATAATGTAATCATAGAAACTGATTGTCTAAATGTTTCTGCGGCTTTTAATTCCCGTTATCTTGATTTTTCTTATGTTGGGTCGATTATGAAGCAATGCTTGCATATTGCTAGTGACATCGGGAACATTAAGGTTCACCATATCAAGAGGTCAGTGAATCACGTCGCTCATGTGCTTGCACGGGCAATTGGTTCCTCGTCTGTCCTGGGGTTGTGGATTAATCACTCGCCCTTGTGTATTTATGCTATTTTGAGTTCTTAATGATATTTGGTTCGTTTGGTTTCAAAAAAAAATAATAAATAAATATTTTGACTAATTTGAAATCTTCATTTAATAATTATCATTTGTTTTTAAATACATTTGTGTAGTCTTTTTAAATTTAAAAAATAGAATATAATTTAAAAAATACATCTGGAGGTCTTCTCAGGGATCACCTTGGCGTTTGGATCAAGGATTTCTTCTCCAAAATTGGGGTGACAAGCAGCTTTATTGTCGAATTATGGGGACTCCGGGAGGGGCTTCTCATGGCCAAAAGTCATAGGGTTCGCAGCCTTGTGGTGAAATCTGATTCGGAAGCCTTGGTCAATGCCTTACACAACGACTCCGGATCCAATCCGGAGGCGGATACTTTAATCCTTGATTGCAACTACTTAATGGAAGGGTTTCACGCTTGCGAGCTCCGCCATGTCCTTCGGGAAGGGAATCAATGCGCATATTTCTTAGTCAATATGGGCCACAGTAATCTTTGGGGGACAACTTTACTCGACCTCCCGCCTAGTGATTTGAGCAATCTTCTTCCTCGGGATGCCAATAGTGTGACAACGAAGGCTCTCATAATTATGGGGCTTCTGAAGCTCCTCTTTACTCACAAAAAAAAAAGAACACAAAAGATTATATAGGAGATGTTATGAATGTGTTACTAAATTAAATTTGAAAGAAGAATGTCAAAGCTCCACGGATTGGGGGCCCACTCATTAAATTGCGGCAAATTATTCTATGGAATCAGGTCTACCTTACAAGGTGGATCCGGGTCCAAAATATACAATTTACATACTGAATTTTCACAATTTTGTAAAAGACAAATTGTGAACATTAAGTGTGTAAATTGTGAACATTCAATATGTAAATTGTGTATTTTGGATTCGGGTCAACCTTGCAAAGTGGACCCGATCCATGGTATAACAATTGTTAAATGAGCAAATACCAATTTTGGTCCCATGAGTATTAACAAAATGATAGTTTTGGTCCACATGTTTAATTCATACCAATTTTCATCTACAACTATTGTTTTACTACCAATTTTCATCCATGAATATTGTTTTAGTGCCAAAATTCATTACATCGATCACTCATTTGTTTAAGACATGCCGAAATATGAAATTATTAAGGGTATTTTTGTCATTTTCAAATTAAGATTCCAATTTGAGCATGAATAAATGGATTAAAGATCTAATATCGGTCATAATTCGCAGTTATCTCCCTCAAACTAAGGTACGATGTGAATGAGAACTGCGAATTGGGATCTCTATTAGAGCTTAAATTCATTTATTCATGATCAAATTGGGATGTTAAGTTAAAAAGACGAAAATACCCTTCAAAATTTTATATTTCGATATGATTTAAACGGATGGGTGACCTCGTGATGAATTTTGACACTAACATAATAATCGTGGATGAAAATTGGTACTAAAATAATAGTTGTGGATGAAAATTAGTAAAAATTAAATATGTGGACCAAAACTATCATTTTCCTAATACGTAGGACCAAAATTGACATTTGCTCATTGTTAAATTGCCACTCGCAGTCGTATTAAATGGGCTCATTATCTCTCCAAGCCCACTGTAGAAAAGACATTGGGTCCATAAACCGTTAAGGCTAAGGCCCATACAGAATACGACTACTTTACTGCGTATAATAGTCGGAGACAGACGAGAGGATTAGACAATTTGCTTTTCATTCCGAAAAATCAAATCTAGGGTTCTCACGGCTGCCGCCGAGCTTTGGTACTTCCCTTATCCTTCTCTTTATGCATTTATGTACGTCGATGGGTTTATATCGTTGAGCTACAATTATTGAATTTCAGACTTTCGTTTAGGTCTTCGTTTTCTTATTCGTCGGGGTGTAGTGTTCCAGGTTCATGGTGTTCTGCTGCAGATTTGCAGTACTGTTGGATTAAAGTGTTGTTTTTGAGGAATAATAGGTCGGTTGCTTGTTTTGTTCTAGGGAAAATGCCGCGATATGATGATCGTCACGGTGGATCCCGCCTCTATGTTGGTCACCTCTCTTCCAGGACGCGGTCTCGTGATTTGGAGGACATCTTTGCCAAATACGGGAGGTAATTAATAGTTTTGGTTACTTATTGAGCGTTAATTGTTGAGCTAGAGCTCATAGCAGTGTCATAAGATTCCATTACCTGTACACATGTTTTGGCCTCGGGGAAACCTCAAGAGTTACACCACTAGGCTTCAAGTCCGAATCTTTCTCTATAATAATATTGTTTGCTGACTGCAAGTATGTAGATGATGGCCTTAAGGATTCTTTTGGGTTGATTTTATAGTGTGTGAGGTTTTTGTGGGGGACCTAAGTCACTGTGAAGCCCATTGTCACTATTGACATTTTCATTCGAAATGTATTTGAGGAAAAGAAAGTGTCCCACTTGTCTCAGTTTTATCTTAAATGATGTTTCTGAAGGTTTCTATGTTTTTGCCCAACCGGAGGGATGTGGTGGGAGGTTGCCCTTGGTGGAATCAGTTGATATTCTTGCAAAGAGTGGCGATTCTTTCTATAGTGTTATTGTATATTTTTTTTGATGGAAATGGCAACAATCCCAAAGTGGTGTTTACTTCATCTTTGAGGGGCGAGGTATCAACCCTTTGGTAGTTATGTCTTGATGGCCTTACTGTTTCTGGAACCCATTTACGCAGAGTACGAGATGTGGATATGAAGCGTGACTATGCATTTGTGGTACACATTTCTTTCTTTGCTGTTTTTGAATTGCGTTTGCACTTACATCTATGGGGAAGTACTGCCTTCTGTTTTTAAAATTTTTATTCATGATTTGAGATTCGTTTTTCTGTGGCTTCATTGAACTGGCAATGTACAGGAATATAGTGATCCTCGAGATGCTGATGATGCCATATATAGGCTAAATGGTCGGGAAATTGATGGGAGTCGCATCATTGTGGAGATTGCCAAGGGGGTAAGATTTAACTCTTGAAGTGGTACTAAATTGACATTGGCTGAATGGCTGTCTTATATATGATTGTCTGTAGTACTCCGTATTTATTATCACCAAGATCAACATTGTCACTGGAAAGCAATCATTGTTAATCATTATAATTGGATATACTAATGAAGTAGAGTGTTTTCTTGATTTAAGTGACAAGAAATGTAGGCTCATCAGGAATCAGGTCCTATTGTGGCCATGTGGGTCTCTCATTCTGTCTGCTTTCCTGGGAATGTAAATTCTGAGTGGGAAATTTTATTTGTCTTTTTTTACCATTCTGTCTGCTGTAGTTTCATTGTTTATGCTATCATCACATGCTAGAAGATGTCCAATTCATGTTTTTTTTTATAAGAAAATAATAAAAAAGTTAATGCTGTTACCAAGTTTGTTAGCTTTCCTTTATTTTCGACATAGGTGCCACGTGGGCCTGGTGGATCTCGTGAGTATTCTGGCCGTGGTCCTGCTCCAGGAACAGGGCGTTGCTTCAATTGTGGCCTTGAAGGCCACTGGGCTCGTGATTGCAAGGCTGGAGACTGGAAGAACAAATGTTATCGTTGTGGGGAGCGAGGTCATATAGAAAGAAATTGTCCTGACAGTCCCAAAAAGACTAGGTATGATCTTAGGTGCACTCATTCTTTTTCTTTCACTAGCATCATTTAGACAGATGTTCTGATATATTGATTTGTTATTGCAGTGGACGTGGTCGAAGTTATTCTCGATCACCATCTCCTCCACGCCGTGGGAGGAACCGAAGCCGAAGCCGTAGTTATAGCAGGGGTCGTAGTTACAGGTCCTCTACCTTTTTTACCTCCTCATTACCCTATTTTTTATATTATTATTTTTAATCCATTTGATTTGAAGTCACTGTTACAACTTACAAGTGTTTTATACTTGGCACAATTATTATCTTTTTCGACCTTTTCATTTTCATTCTTGAATATTACTTGGATATCTATAATATTTCCAATCATTTTTAAAATTTTGGTTTCATGCTAATTATGATATTTTTCTTCACTATTTATTTAAGGAGCATTCATTGTATGTTTTGTTTTTTTCCTCATATATCTAATGTGTTATGGTTGTTAATATATAAATATCCATATGGAGGTACTGAAGATAAATATGACTGTTAGATGGCTTGACAGTGATTAGAGAAAGGAATCTTCTGTTGGTTAAGATGCACTAACCTGAGTTTCTGTTTTTAACAGAAAAAGTGGAAAATATGCACATTCCATTTGCTATAATCTAATTCTGAGTTATCTATATCTTTGCCACATGCATGATGTTGGAGTGTTAATCTTTACATATTACTCCATAATATCTCTCAACTTCATTGAGTCACTCCACTCGATGTACTGGTTTTCTTACAAATTTATTTTCTCTGCAGCCGATCCAGATCACCTGCAAAGAGAGAGCGCAGCATTGATCACGAGGAGAGACGATCTAGGAGTCCCAGGCAGCGCAAATCTTCCCCACCACCATCAAAAGGAAGACATCATAGCCCCACACCTGATGATAGGAGCCCGCGTGAAAGAGGCACACCATCCCCACGGGACAATAGACCAGTGAATGGTTCAGAATATGACCGAAGCCCCAAGGATGGAACTGAAACTGATGACCGTAGATATGATGATGAAAAGAACATGAGCCCTCTTGAAGAAAATGAACGCAGTCGCAGCAATAGCCCTATCCCCAGGGACAATGAAAGCCCCATAGAAAATGAAAAGCGTGGCTCTCCAAGAGGCAGCGAGTCGCCTTAAATCTATCCTGCATTATATTTTGTTATTATCATCGTGGCGAGTTTTAGAGTGTTGAACCAAATAATTACATTTTAATAGCACTCAAACTAGAGTAATTTTCTTATCATCTTTCTAGGACTTGTACTGATTTGTTGTAATTTTCAAATTCGAATTCCTTGAGCAATTGCTTTATATTTGGTTATGTTGGCTTTAGAGGTTGCTACTATAGACTTGAATGAAAAGGTATGAGTGTATGACTTTGTTCTTTATTTAGCTTCTGCATTTTGCATAGAATCCTCGGAGCTATGTTTCTAGGTAGTAGATGCCATTGTTTTTGTTTGTTTTTCTATTTTAGGTTTGTTTTTAGAGGATCTTTGTCTCTTTTGATTGATTAAAGTCTCTTGATGATTTTCTAAATTCAGACCTTATATTAGCTAGACTAGATATCATAGTTTCTTTTACGTTTGATGGTTCATTGGTTTGTACCAGTCAAGCCCAAAAGCTACGGGTAAAAGAGAGTGGGAAGCCGACATTTGGATTTTTGTTTTCCAGTAATCTCCGGCATTTACGGAGGACTTTTTGTCTTGTCTGGCTCCACCTTTATTTTCTTTTGTAAAATGAGGATTGAGATAGTGTAAACACGCTTTTACGGGGTTTTCATTCGGTCTAATAAGATTTCTACACTATAATTCGTGCGAAATTAGTGAAGGAGATGATCGTGTTTCAAGACGTGATTTGTGGATGATTTGGTGTGCGCAAGTGCCATTAAGAAAAGTATGATTAAGAAATGCGAAAGCTAACCAAGTAAGTAGAACGTGTTTCAAATATTGTCTACTAAATTAGACTCAAGTCCATACGAGCAAGTAGGATGTATTCTAGTCTACAGTTGAGGTTGTTACACAGTCTTTTTAATACAATGTATCTTTTCATGAGCATGATTTACTCGGTGTGCACTTTTTGATAGTGACTTCATTATTTTTTTTCCTTTCACCCAAACATATGATTAGGAAAGAACTCATTTTGGGATAAAGAAAGAACTCATCTTGGCCTCGAGAGGGGTGATCAAGTGAGTGGCATGATTTTGTACTGGAATGTTACAAATTTGATTCTTGCCAACACTTCTCAGTCAAGCTCATTGTACAAGATCTTCCTACACACATTGAGTAATGACTGCGGATTCCCCTCATAGAAAAAAAGAAAGAATTCATGTTATTTTTATAATACCTAGTTACCTGTATTAATAATCTGAAATTCATCTTATTTTTATAATACCTAGTATACATAACGCAATATTCTTATTATTCTCACAAAAATAATCCCGAAATCCAAAAGTTTATTTTGATCTTTAGTTTTTATATAACAAAGCATAAATGGTGAGGTTGTCTTAGCTAGTACATACTCGTTATTGTTTATAATAGAGTAGCTAAGTGCGTTTGTTTAACTAATAAAGCAATGAATTGAATATAATGATTATGAAATAGAAAAGATGAACAGCTAATGTCATGTCCCCATCACCTCTTGCTGCGTTGCCTCAACTTTCTTTCACATTTTTTTTTGATAACATTTTTTTTTTTCTAATGGAGCCATGGTGATAATAAATTTTCCCTTTAATTTTTTTTTTGAAAACATTTTTCCCTTTAATTAATTACAGAACAACAATCCCTTCATTCGACTCTTTATTTGATTTGGGAGCCATAAAAATTAGCCATAAAAATTTACAATTATTCTCTAAAAATATTTACTAAGTAAATTCTGCTTCTAAAAAAATGCAATTAAACTCTTTATTTGATGTTGTAGGCCATTTTTGTACTTCTTTGATCTATCTCCAACAGTTCATTTGCAACACATGGCCTTCATTGGGTTGTGCAAACACACACAAAAAAAAAGATCCAATGTTGTAAATTTTGCATTAAAACACCATGGAAAAAATATTAACCAATTAAGCGCCATAAATCAACAAAAATCAATTGAACACAAGCAACAATGCATATAATATTTGATATAGCTAGAATAAGTGTAAATTGACACTTATCCGCGTCACAACTCGTTAAGTTTAACAAATACACAATCAATATTAAACAAATTTTTAATTTGTTCATCTGTTATTTTCGTGTCATGTTAAAAATTATCAAATTTAACATTATATTTGAGAACTCCATAGTTTTAAGGCGGTATGTACAACTTTATCCTCAAATTTGATGATCCTTATAAATTGAAGATTAAATATAATAAAATTGAAGACTAAATGTTTTTTTTGTCAAAGGCTTTGTGCTCGAACAGTATGGCTCTGCCCCTCAAATGAGAGGATTCAAGTTTAGTAAGTTGAGAAAATATGTATAACAGATACTACATTCTAATAGAGTAAATATCATTCAAATATATATATTTTAAAAACTCAATAATTGAGGGATGTTCACTTGTTCAGTGGATTTTTTTTTTAAAAACTTAATTAAAAAAAAAAAAAGTGAAGACCGGTGACTCCGGTGCCCCCACTGCCCAGCTCCAAAAGTACTACTTCGCCGTCTCCGCGGCATCGAAATTTTAAAACTTTTTCATCATCATAGCATCATCCTCTCTCTCTCTCTCTCTCTCTCTCTATCTCTCTCTCCCTGACAGTTCTTGCTTTTCTCCCTTTACATCACTGACACATACACAGCCGTCCGGAGTCCTCTGTGCATTGTTTTCAGAATTGCATTCAAGAAATCTCAACCCAGGAGCTTCAGGATATTCCGTGTATTCTCTCTCTCTCTCTCTATATATATGCGTGTGTGTGTTAGTGTGTATGCAAATTTATTTTCTTCTGAAAACACTTTTTTTCCAGTCAATGCTTGTAGCACTTATTCCATGGCGTTAAAGGAGCCTACTGGAATTTGCCGTATCTTTTGGTAGATTTCAAGTATAATATTGAATTTTGAATCGTAGAGTGATAATTGGAGTAATTACTAATTAAATTTCTGATTTCACTTCAATTTCGGGGTAAATTCGTAAGATATTTTTTTTTCGAAATTTGAATTTCTATTCACATTTTCAACGCGTTTTTTTGGGTTAAGAATCTGGACTCTTAATTGCCTGTCAAATTTCCAGATAACGATGGGTTAGGTTTCGTTTGGTTAGGAAATTTTTTCACTAATATCTTATTTGGATTTTTATTAATTGCCTCTACCCCACCCCCACCCCAGGTCTAACGGTCACTCCATAGTTTACCCAGTAGAAATAAAATAAAAGGAAACAACTCTCTTTTCCCTTTTATACTTTTTTTTTTTTCCTCAAAACCTCTCAGTTTGGAAAATTGGAAGATAATTTTGATTTGGTTTGCTGGGATTATCATTTTGAGAAGGTATTAATTTGGATTCTTGTTTCTTGCCTTTTTTTTTTTTTTTTTTTGCACAAGAATGGTGACTCTCTTTTTGTTGTTTGAAATTAGCAGTGTATGATATAGACTTTGGCTTAAGCATAGAGGTCTGGGGATTGGGAATCAGGTTTTATCAAGCTGAAAAATTGAGGGTGGAACGGCTTTTGGGTTTTGATATAGGATTTGATACTTCTATTAATTGAGATGAGAATCTGACACTAACCACTTTTGAATCACGAGTCAGAAATATATTGATTGATTCTTTTTTGGAGGGTATCATGATTTGTGCTAAAAAGTAGTGAAGGGTTGCTGAAATCAATGCTCTCTTACTAAAATCAATGCTTTTATAGCATTTCAATTCATGTTTATTCCGTTTCATTTTTTTTTTTTTTTTAATTTAGGAAAATAATTTTCTTTTGTATATTTTCGTTTTTGTTTGGTTATCAGTATTGTTTTGGAAGCTAAAACCCTAGTTTATTGGGATGGTGGTAAAACCAAAGGATATGGGTACCAGTTCTTGACGATTTAAATTTCATCTTTAGCTGTTCCTGCTGGGATGTGGGAAGTGTTGAGTAATTACCTTTTCTGTGTCCAGAGTTGTAATTTTTTATCAAGGTTTAAGTTTTGTCAATAACAAGGCAAAGAAGAACACAGGGCGCTCAAGCTCTTTTACATGGTTTGTTAGAGATTCCATGTTTCCTATTTCATTGAATGGTAGTGTTGTGTGTGTTAAAATTTTCATGAAGGACTGCATTGTTAATGCTCCTTTCTAGTTTCTATAGTTCTAATTATTCCCTGAGCAAAAGCTGCACCCTGCCTGCGTTTTGGGTGACACGGGAAACCCCCAGTCACTATTGCCTTGTGGTCTTAACCGGCAAAAGACCACAAGGAAGTTAAAACGCTAAAGCCAAGAAAGCCACTACAGGAGTTGAACTTGAAACCTTGTGGTTATAGTTACCAAGCTAACAATCTAACCAACTTGGCTGGATGCCCCCCTGCCAGCATTTTTGTTTTTGTTTTGTTTTGTTTTATTTTTTATTTTTTTTTTCTGTCTTTTTGTTTCTTTTGGGTGCTTATGATGAGAATGTATGATGTAGGAAACTCTGAACAATGAATAATAAAATTACAGGAGTCAGTAGTACATCATATATAGAGTACATAGAAGAGTAGAATAGTATACTACAACAAAAGAATACGAACTCTAGTTTTAGTCCTAATACTTGTATGATTATATCCCGTCTTAGACACCGTTCAGTGCACAGTATTATGTCCTTTGATCTGTTTTTGGCCTATAAAATAATTTGACATAGGGTTTATTGGTTTAATATTTTCTATCATTTTCCATATGATTGATGTCATTAATCAATGCCATATGGTTTTTATTTCTGTTGGGGATCTTAGCGTTCATCTTTTCATGCAGGTTCAGTTACATTGTCCATGATAAAAGATGAAGAAACTGTTCTTTTTCAAATCAACTGCTTCTAGTAGTGGAAACAACCTCTCACCACCACCAAAGGACAAACAGTGCTATTGGGAAAAACCAGCAGACAATTTTGAGAAGTCAAGAAGTAGAAACAAATTTGTAGAAGATCAGAACTCTGGAGCTCCCCCAACTCTTAGAAGGAGCCTTTCTTTTTCATCTGGATCCCTTAATGATGGTGTTGTGGCACACAGGGATTTTCTGGATGGAAACCGTGGTAACAATGTGCAACTTAGGAAATCAGGCCGCCGGTCGTCTCGGTATGCACTGCATTTTCTGTCACTGTTTGTATCTTTAAAATATTTGGATCTTATTATGGAACAATAACTTATACAGGGATCATTTTTTTTTTTTTTTTTTTTGTTTCAGTGGCCGGCCACTTATGCCTGAGAGACGACCCCGTGCTAAATGCTTGAATGATGTTGAAACCTCTTATAAAGTGAGGAATGATTATGGTTCTTCATTCATACCACACAATGACTTGTCTGAGAGCTCTTCCCACTGCTCCAGTAATATTTCAAGTAAAGTTTTAGATCTTTACATAGATGGGGAGCAAGAACATGAAAAGAGTGGATCCACCAATGACTTGTGTGGGAAAGATCATGCTGATTATGAATGTGGTGGTATACAATTGCCTCCAAGAGTCCAGCACACTGTACCTTCTTCACCACCACCCAATACTAAGAAGCAGAAGCCTAAATCTCAACCTTTCAGAGGGACTGCAGGAGAACCTCAACTTTATATTTCATCTTGGGAGTTGATGGAGAATGGTTTTGGGCATGAGTCTCCTAGAAAACTTGCTAAAAAGGTTGTCGAGAGGCTTTCTCAATCCCAGTTGCTTGCTGAGAGGAGTTCGAAAGAATTTGATGCTGATACTCCAATTACAATTGAAGATATCTATAGTGGGAATGTAAGTAGATGTCCTAGTGTGTGTTCTGATGGTGTTTCTCAAAACCATTATTCAATAAATGGCTTGAATGGCACAGATGGTGAGTATCATGGTGAAGCAATTCATAGCTTCCAAGAAAGAAACTCTTTCTCTAGTGCTAATTGCAGCAATATGGGGAATGCTTATGCTGAAGAAGACTCAGATTCAGAACTGTATAGAAAATTCAACGAGGCTGATGAACTGGCAAAAGTGCTGTCCGAAGATCTTGAAGAGCAGAACTTTTTTCAGGGGAGAGGGCTCAGTGTTCCTGCATTGATCCAGAAAATTAGAAGCCTGACTGAGGAAAAGTTACAAATGGCCATTGAGGCTTCAGCTGCATTGCAGGGTCAAATTACTGAGAGAGCTTCAGCTAAAGAAGAAGTCAGATTATTGAGAGCTGAACTAGATTCACAGACACAAAGATTGGAGAAGGAGAAGAACGACATGCAGTCTTCACTGGAAAAGGAGTTAGACAGAAGATCAAGTGAGTGGTCCATCAAGCTTGAAAGATACCGTTCAGAAGAACATAGGCTCCGTGAAAGGGTCAGGGAGCTTGCAGAGCAAAATGTTTCTCTTCAAAGAGAAGTGTCCACCCTTAGTGAGGCGGAGGTGAACAACAGAAGTAGGATTTCGTATTCAGAAAATCAACTTGATGATCTTGTGAAGAGAGTGGAGAAAGAAAGAGAGGAGAATCAGATTTTAGAGCGAAATATATATGAACTCAATGAGAAGTACAGAACAGCTCATGAAGATCAAGATTGCATTAGAAGGAACTATGAGGACAAGGTGAAAGAGTGTAAAGACTTACATAGATCTATTACCAGGTTACAAAAGACTTGCAGTGAACAAGAGAGGACAATTGATGGACTGCGAGTATTCTATGAGGAAGTTAGCGTGAAGAACTCAACAAGAGACTTTGACAATGAATTGACAAAGTTGCGAATGGAGCAAATGAGGTTGGTAGGAGTGGAGTGTGGTTTAAGGAAGGAAGTGGAGTCTTACAGGCTTGAAGTTGATACACTTCGGCATGAGAACATTAATTTGTTGAACCGCTTAAAAGGAGTTGGACGAGATGCTGGATTCTCAACATTTAAGCTAGATCAAGAATTGCAAAACCGTGTGAGCTGCTTGGAAAACCAAGGCCTGTCTTTACTTAAGGAAAGCACCCTTGTTTGTGAAAAGTTGTTTAATTACATCAAAGCAAATGCTGGAGACATGTTTAAGGATGGACGCGGTAATTTGGATAGAGGGTTAGATGGTCAATTTATTGTTGAATCTGATGTTAAGATCCTTGGTTTTAAGAGGGGGATCGATACTTTAATGAAAAGTTTACAGAATGTGTCTGTGGTGCTTCATGAGAAGTCTGAATCTCAGTTACCTAGTTTAGAAAGTAAGATTCACCAATTAAATAGTCAGAAACCAGAAGTAAGTTGGCTGTGGTACTTCTTACTTTATGAATACTCTATATGAATAACCTCTTGTGGTCTTTTACTTTATAACTATATTTTTATTAATTCGTAGGATATAATGCAGTCTGAGCTAAAAGCAGAGACTTTACTTACAAGTTTGTTGCGGGAGAAGCTTTATTCCAAAGAATTGGATATGGAACAGCTTCAAGCTGAGCTGGCAGCTTCTGTCAGAGGCAATGACATGCTCAAATGTGAATTGCAAAATGCACGAGATAACCTTTCATGTTTTACCTACAAGATGAAAGACCTTGAACTTCAGGTAAGTTGATTATATTTTTTGTTATGCATGGTATGTCCAGTTTGCATGTTGGTTCTGTCATCTTGCTCTTTAACTGAATAAAATTGTGCATATCATCGGCTTTGCATTACTGACATTGTTGTATTATTTCCTTTTTTTTTTTTTTTTTTTTGGCAATAGATGATTAAGAAAGATGACAATATCAATCAGCTTCAGAACAACCTCCAAGAATGCATGAAGGAATTAACGGTAGTGAAGGGGATACTACCGAAAGTATCTCAGGAGAGAGACGTAATGTGGGAGGAGGTTAAACAGTACAGCGAAAAGAACATGCTGTTGAATTCGGAGATGAATGCTTTAAAGAAGAAGATAGAGACACTGGAAGAAGACATCCTCCTTAAAGAAGGTCAGATCACTATTTTAAAAGACACTCTTGGCAAACCTTTTGACCTTCTCTCAAGTTCAGGTTCTACAAGGGATTTTATGCTTGACTGATTGGTCACTGTTTTGGGAATTTATTATCAGCTTAGTGTTTATACTTGTATATTGTTTGATTTTCTCTTCTGGAATTATAGCATAGCATATAGGCTCAATAAAAACCGGCCTACTTCTTTCTGATCAACCATCTGGTTGACAATGCCATTGATGATTTGCTTTGCTGCATGCTTTATTGAATCAAGATAAAATGTTTTCTTTTATCTCTGTTCTCTCATTATTTTCTTGATTTTATTTTTCCCTGAAGCCACAAAGTTGTGTTTGGCTTCCAAAGAAGTGCCCAAATTACTTGTTTGCACCATCTAAACTATTAATAAATTATTTTCGATTCTCGTTAACGACGTTATTTGAACTATATATTCAGAATTTATGAATTATATATTCAGAATTAATGAACTATATATCCAGAATTAGTGAACTATATATTGGCCTATGGCAGTTCGCTGCGTCTGTGTATTCAAAATGAATGAACTATATATTCAGAATTAGTGAACTATATATTCAGAATTAATGAATTATATATTTAGAATCAGTGAACTATATATTCAGAATTAATGAACTATATATCCAAAATTAGTGAACTATATATCAACACTAAAAATGATAGAAATCCCGTGATGGGAGTTTTTTTTTACAAAAAAAAAAAAAAAAAAAAAAATGCTTGGTGGAGTTAAACGGTGCCACTAACGGCAGAGTTACTCCACTGTAGTGAAACGGCGTCGTGTGCACCTTGAGTATTTCAGGGTTTGGTCAAAACATAAAATAGTGAATTGGAATTTAAAAAATGTTATTATTACAATCACCCTTACAAGTTAAAACATTAAACACATAGCAAATATAATATCACTGCACCTTCAAATTAAACATGCAGCGCAGCAACAATATACAGGGAAAAGGAAAGCTCACTCCACTCCGTTCAACCCAAAAGTCCATGCAAATCCTCAATAAAACTTTCCACATAATCCTTCATGATTCCAGGCCTTGTTACCACTTGTCTCCATTTCCTGTGATTCTTCCTCACCAAACACCCAATCTCGCTATCCTCATCCATCACTGATCTAACTGCCCTGCAAAGATTCTCCTTCGAAATCCACCCATTTTCGCCCTTCTCCACCTCCACTGCAACTCCAAGCTCGTCCGCCATTAGCCTGGTGTTCAAGGTTTGATCGATGATGTTCGGGACGAAAACTAACTGGCAATGGCTCATCAAAGCTTCCCACATTGATCCATACCCGCAGTGATTCACGAAGCATCCGATTGATTTGTGGGCTAAAACTTGAGTCTGTGGCACCCACCCAAGAACCATTCCTCTGTCTTTAACCCTTTCTTGAAACCCTTCCGGCAAAGCTTCTTCTATGGAGGCTGCCCCCTTTGGTGGCTTGAGGGCTACCAGGAATGGCAGCCCGGTTTTCTCGAAGCCTAAGATGAGTTCTTGGAATTGGTTCTTTTCCATGAGCCATTCGTTTCCGAATGCGCAGAAAACGACTGAGCCTGGCCGGAATTTTTCGAGCCAATTTAAGATTGTGTCTTCCAGTGGGTCTTCTTGAATCTCCGGCAAGATTAGGCCGGTGTAGAACATCTGCCGTCGCCCGAAGTGGCTGGCGATGTAGTCGCAGAACGGGCCTTCTACTTCCTTGCAGGTCCTCATGGCTAGCGCGTCGCAGGTTTTCATCCCGGCGAAACCTCGTTCGAACAACGTCGTCATCTGGTTGCCGGGGATGTTCGCGAACTGCGCTACTTGCCGTGCTTCGTGTTCGCGCAGGACGACCTTAAACAGGAGACCCAGGAAAACCGTTATGGGTAGGCGATTTTTTTTAATAGTTAATAACTAAATATGATTTATTTATAACAGTCAGTAATCAAAATTGAACTTTATTCAAAAAAAATATTTATTGATAAAATATGAAATGATTAAAATTGTTTATATCTCTATTAATATGATCGGAGCCAGCTAAGCTAACCTATATGTACTGACCTTAGAAGAAGGGTATTCCGGCGGCGGCTCCGTAAGGTCCGACGCGGTTAACGTCTTCTCTCTGCCGGGTAACACCAGAAGCCCCAATGCCGATAGAGTAGGTCCGATAACTTTAAAGTAGACAGATTTGCAGCCGATCTCCGACGCCACCTCCGGGATCCAGTAAGCAAAATCGAAGAAAATGAAGTCCGGCTTGTCGTCGGCGGCGGTGAGGATTGCCTTGACCTGATCCCGGGTTCCGTCCAAGGCCCGTGCTAACGCGAGAGAATCCTTGGTGTCAGACGAGGTTTCGGCGCCGGGCGGGCAGCCGTCCACCGGCGGCAGCGTGATAGCGTAGAAGGTTATGAGGTCCGGGTGAAGGTTGCGATTTGCGAGTTTGAGGGTAGCGTTTTTGGGGAGCAAAACTGAAACCTTGTGGCCTCTTTTCGCCAGCTCGTTGGAAAGATGGAGGAATGGGATCATATGGCCGTAGGCCAGCCATGGGAACATGGCGACGTGAAGCTTATTACCGTCCATGGATTCCGACGACGGCGACATGATCGAATATCCCCGGGTTTGAATTGAAGAAGATGATAATTAGCTTGTAATTTCTGCTCCTATTTAATTATTTGCCCCCGTCGTGTTCTACGATATTTAACCAAAATTTCCCTCGAATACTATGATTTTACCATTTAAATAATAATAATAATAATAATAATAATAATAATAATGCCGATAAACAGATACTACAATGTAATAGAGCCAGTTTCAAAAAAATAATGATGCAGATTTCCGGCAACTAAGGACCTCTTCAATGTGCATGTCCCATGCTCATGAGGTATATGACAAATTATACCATGCATCACGATCCACGTTACAATGTCGACTAGGACTAAATGTTCATTTTTAATATATTACAAATTTATTTTTAATGTATTAAAATTTTACTTTTAGATAGTATATTGAATATTAAATAATAAACATTTGTCAAGCACCTTATGTTCAGATGTCATGACCTCTTCTATGTGAGAGATCGATCCTCAATGGAGGCATTGTTGATTTTGTGTGCTTCATTTGATTGAGAAAGTAATAGAGTCAGTAAGTCCATTATTTAATAGGAATTTGTTATTCAACTTCTTATTCACGGTGTAAAAATGTCTCCTTATATAATATCTTAGGAATTAGTTTCCCTCTCAAAGGTTGAGTCCTCTTGTATAAATATTTCCTCGCAAAGTGTAGAGGAGCGAGGATCCGAATTTTCCATAATCTCATGCTTTATTGCATTGTTCTCTCTATTTTTATTTATTTAATATATATATATATATATATATATATATATATATATATATATTTTTACATTTTTTCATCTATTGAATGGTTGTGTTGGCCAATCGTTAACTAAACGAAAGTCTTAAAACCAACAAATTATTAAAAATTATTTGACCTTTAATATATTAAAAATAAACTTTGTGTCCATGGTTCTCCTCACAAGGTGAACCATGGGCAATAGTATAATGATTGAAGGTATATTGAGTTAGAATCTAGTTTCAAGATTCAACACCAAATAATATACTTCTATGCATAAGGTGACCGTTCTAAATCCAAATCTCCAATGTTTGTGATAGAAATCAAACACCACCATATCATTAGAAATATGTCTTAAGTGAGACTTCTCATTTTATGAACTTATTTTGAGTTAGATATTATGAAGTTAATATATTTTAACTAGCCATCAACCTCAATTATATTATATTAGGGTTTTAGGTAAGATTGTTCAGTTAGCTAAGTGCAGGTTCAAATCATGTATTTTGGCTGTTTTGTATAAATATAATACTTTTTCAGTAAAAGAATTATATATATATATATATATATATATATATATATCATAGAAAAAATATTATATTTTTACTAAAAAATATAACAATTCTCACGATAGTCTCACACAAGCTTTTGTGCTTTACAAGTAATTTATTATTGAGCAATGATATATTCTTTTCCTAAAATTTATATTTGATTAATAAGTAAATTCATGGTGATACCAACTGATTTATTAGTAGTCAACACAAGAATCATGAGTATTTTAATATATATATATATATATATATATATATATATATATATATATATATATATATTATTTTATCATATCATTTTCCATTTTACCTACTGAAAAACTCTAAAGTTAGAATTTAAAAGTGTGGAATTATGAAATGACAAAACAACCAACCAGCATATTTAATCTTTTTTTATACAAAATGAAAAACTTTTATAAATAGTTTATTCCAAATCATCGGAATAAACGAATTTATGTGAGAAATGACAAGTATAGTTTATTAGGAAAATTTTACAATACTAAACATACTAAATATTAGGCCGTGTCCCTTCAAAAGAATATTAGGCCATGTATGAATTTGGCGGACTTATTACAAGTATTTGGGAGCATGTAGGTCAGTTAAGACAGATACTACTTATCTCATTCACGGGTCTTTAAGATAGGAGCACTCAAATATCTTTAGGTTTGGTATTTAAACTTATTATACATAAAAATGGGCAAAATATTTTTTTAATATGAATTTTAGGTGTGTATGTTAATTAATTGGGAGTTAAATAATTAGACAAAATATGTACATATATGTTTTCTTGCCCAAGTTGGAAAATTAAAAATAAAAGAAAATAATAGGTACGGATTACTGAAGTAGTTAGGCAATATTGTCCTTGAAACTACAAGTAATAGCAGGTTTAATAGTAGGTGTTCATCAACTTTCCATGGACCAACTCTTATTATTTTTATATTTTAATAAACTTTTAATGTTTTTTTTTTTAATTTCATTTTTATAAATATAAGAAAATTCTAAGATGTTGATTGAAGCTGACACTTTTTGCATATGATACAACCCGTATAATTATATATGTTTTTGAAATTCTACCGGGTGGGAACAAGAGGTTCTATAAGTGATTCAAACTCGAGAACTAAAAGTGAAGAAAAAAAATACAATAATTGAGAGGTCAAAAATGAAATTATTTGAAATGTCAATTGTCAAAGGAGTCTATTTAAAACTCAACTTTGTTTTTTCCTTTTTTTAATTAATAGTTAAATTTGAGTATTAATCCTTATCCTTCTGATATAAATCTCGTTTAAGCTTTTTATAACACTGTCGTTACTGATTAAAAGCCGGAAATTCTTTCCAAACTGCACGTAGCTAATAATGACATCAATTTTTATTGAATACTGATAAGCATACAGATTCAAGAACTAAAGCATTTTATGCTACATTATTGCTAAATAGTATAGTAACTACTACTAGTCATTGTCTCTCGAAATTTAAACGAAATTCGATAGCTCTGTGTTGTTGACCGCCATAAGGTTTAAAGTTATGCAATTTACCTCCTCGGGGTGAGGCAAATCCAATTATCTTGTCTGTCGGGATAGCACGAGGGGGATTCTCGGGGTTCGGGTTCAGTCCATTTTTGAAATTTAAGCATTGAAGGCTGCACTATCTAATCTGGTCTGAAATGGAGTGGGGATTTGGTTTATAGTTCTTCTTCTTCTTCCCTTTGATTCACCTGAAACTCCTCCCCTGCAAGATGACCCAGAATCTGAGTCTGTAGCCTGCCCTGTGTGCTTCCAGTAACTCCCCACAGTTCCTAAAATGGGCATCTCATCTGGGCTGCTGCATCTAGGAGATGAAGAAGATTTGGATAGAGCCTTGAGTTCTTCATGGCTCCAAGCTCCCAAAACAGGCTTGTCCTCCCCAGATTCCTCTGCAGACTTTCTTCTCTGATCTGAAGGGGAGTTGCCAACAGATTCTGAACTGTTCTTAGAGTTTGGTGTCCTCTTCTCACACCCTACTAACCAGCTAGACAGGCTAGTATCCACTGCAATCTCTCTCTCTTTGCTCTTCCAATCAACATTCTGGTGGTTCTCCTTTTCTTCAATCTCTCTCTCTTTGCTATTCCAATCAAGATTCTGGTTCTCCTTTTCTTCACCCTGCAATGGTTTCTTGGTCCCACAATCTTCTACCCAGAAACCAGCTGAGTTACCCGTGCAGGTCGTCTTGGCTGCTTTCCATTGACTCATATTTTCAATGGGATTCAAGACAGATTGATCAGATTGATTAAACCCAACAAGATCAGATTGATTCAACCCAACAATGGTTTTTGCATCCTTTTGAGAGGGAATCAAAGGACTGCTACTGACTTCTTCCTTGTCAGGCATTTCAGGCTGAGAAATGCTCTTCCTGGACTCTATTGACAGAGAAAATAGTGACTCAGAAGACTCTTCTTGAACCCATGCATCATATTCATCTTCACCATTTGTGCTGCAGTTATGGTACCTGTGATTCAGAGGATATGATGTCAAACTTTTCTCTGCCTCCTCATTTTCTCCTTTCTTCTGTTCTTCCTGGTTTGAACACTCCTCAGAGGTTTTAACACTCAGATCAAATGTAACCTTCTTCCTGCTGCTCCTATTCACCTCTTCTTCCTCCTCATCCCTAATTACACACAAAATCAAGAAAATTTATACAATACCCACCTAAATTTTCTTACTTTGAACGATGGGAAATTCGCAACAACTACTAAGGATGTGCATCAGGTAAACCACACCTTGTGATCATAGTCGACAGAGGACCATAATAGGGTAAATGAGCTTAGATTGCCCATGCCTTGTGATCCTAGTCGACAGAAGACCATAATAGGGTAAATGAGCTTAGATTGCCCATGCCTTGTGATCCTAGTCGACAGAGGACCATAATAGGGTAAATGAGCTTAGATTGCCCATGCCTTGTGATCCTAGTCGACAGAGGACCATAACAGGGTAAATGAGCTTAGATTGCCCATGCCTTGTGATCCTAGTCGACAGAGGATCATAAGGTAAATGAGCTTAGATTGCCCACGCCTTGTGATCCTAGTCGACAGAGGACCATAATAGGGTAAATCAACATATCCATAATTGATTGGGTCAAGGACCTGATCAACTTGGCTAGGGTTGTTCAAAATTTTCAAAGTTTTCTTACTTTGAATTAGCAATGGGCTTGATAGAATCCACAGTCTGAGCTTCTTTTATGATAGCTTCACTCACATCACCATCATCATGGCTATGCAGCAGACTCTGAAGACACTAACAGTGGAAATTAAACACCAAATAAGAGAACCAAACCCTTAAAAACAAAGAGATATTTACATTAAAAGAATGAAAGATTTGAAGCTTACCTGATTTCTGGAGGGAGCAATATTATTGTCATCAGAGTTTATGATCCTCTTGTGCTTTGAATGGCGGAAGCAAGCCGTAAAGCAGCCCATGCTGGAGTGACGTAAAGTGGGTTTGGAGTCAAAAGTCAGTGGATGGAGATTAGATAATCATGGCAGGTTTTTGATGCAGAGAGTGAGAGAGAGAGAGAGAGAGAGAGAGAGGAGCTTTAATGGCGGCGAGGAGTAGGGAAGATGGAAGGCTGAAAGCACAGCCAAAACGGTCCACTGGTCAAGATAAAGGGAGCTGGCTTTTAGGGTTTTAAATGTTTTTGAAAAATATGACCGTTAGTTGTTCGATCGCTGGCACTGAGTTTTATAAACCTTAGTGACGCCTGTCTTATTCAGCATTTCTATTTTGTCTTCATACACTCTGGTTCTAGTAGGAGTTTGATTTAGTTTTTGAGTTCAAATTTTTATTAAATGAAACAGTTTGGAAAAGTTCTCCCTATAGAATTGAACCCTAATTAATATGTAATTCTTGTTTTTGCTTTAGAGATTTGGAATGTGCAATTCAACCCTCTACTCGGAGTTATAGTAAACCATCTTATCAGCCCGCATGAGCAGCTCAACTGGTCATAGGAGTGAAGTTTGGGAAGAATGAGCAAGGATCGAGTCTCATCAGCGGAGGAGCAACCTCTCAAAGTGAGGGACGCTCATTGTGTGCAGTAAGCAAAGACCGGGTCTATCTCTGTGATTCAGTCAGTTGAGTTATCAGGATTTACATCATCCTAAATGCTCTGTCGGGGGCCGGGTTGGGAATTCAACCTTTTTGGGAAGGAGTAAACCATCAACTTGGTGAATAAATCCTAATATTTGTGGTTCAATTGAGTTACCACGATTTAGAGCAAATACCAAATTTGATCCCACGAGTATTAGCAAAATGACGGTTTTGGTCCACATGTTTAATTCCTACCAATTTTCATCCACGACTATTATTTTAGTACCAATTTTAATCCACGACTATTGTTTTAGTACCAAAATTTATCACGTCGGTTACCCATCTATTAAAGACATCTCGAAATCTAAAAATTTTAAGGGCATTTTTGTCATTTTAAACTTAAGATTCCAATTTGAACATAAATAAATGAATTTAAGCCCTAAGATCGATCCCAATTCGCAGTTCTCATTCTCATCATACCTTAATTTGAAGAAGAAAAATGCGAATTGTGATAGATCTTAAACCTCTTTATTCATGCTCAAATAGGGATCCTAATTTTAAAATCGCGAAACTACCCTTAATAATTTTATATTTCGACATGTCTTAAACGAAGGGGTGACCGGCGTGATGAATTTTGGCACCAAAACAATAGTTGTGGATGAAAATTGGTATTAAAACAATAGTCGTGGATGAAAATTGGTAAGAATTAAACATGTGGACCAAAATTGTCATTTTGCTAATACTCGTGGGACCAAAATTGACATTTGCTCCACGATTTACATCCTCCCATATTTACATCCTCCCATATATTATATCGGACCGGGCTGGGGATTCAACCTTTTTGGGAAGGAGTAAACCATCTTATCAACTTGGTGAATAAATCCTAATATAATTTAGGCTATGTTTAAAAACCAGAAAAATGAGTCCTTTTTCAAAAAATATTTTCTTTTCCCGTATTTGGTTGCTTTACAAAAAATTGTCTTGATGTATTTGATTTATTTTCTACACTATTACTATTATAACAGGATTGAACAGACGAAATAGTATCCATCGCGTCAACTCCCCACCAATTTATAAAAACATCGTCGTTGGGCCAGGGCGCACGATATAACAATCCTAGCAAGTGTTGTTGGGCCGAACTACTCAATTGCTAGTGTCAAAAACATGTGGAGCAACATTTGGGCTTGGGCTTGGATCTGGGATAAAATTTGATTCTTCTGAGATCCAAGCAATAGATCTGAAGCCCAGAAACTTTGAAATAAGAAAAATGCATTTTAAATGAGTAATTTTGTATTTTGGACATATTTTTTCCCATAATATGATGGAAATTCTCAAAAAAACATTCCAAAGTCTTTTTTTTTTTTTTTTTTTTTTTAATTTAAAACATTTAGAAACCATTTTTAATGTATTTTTAAAATATAATTAAAACATATTTTAGAGATATAATTGACAAAAAATCATTTCTTAAAAGAAAATTTATTTTAAAACTTTTCGTGTAAGTTACAACCAAGGTTATAGCCAGGTGATACCCAGGTAAAGCGCCTAAAGGCTAGGTTGTAACTGGGCAAATATTTACTTGTAGTCAACAAAGTTTATGATCTGATTTATAATACAATTTAGGATTAAAAAATAATAAATTTAACGTATAGTGGCTACTACAAAATTTGGTTCTTAATTTTTTTTTTTTTTTAATTTATTTGGATAGGCCAAGTCCATGAAGAGATAAATTGAGACAAAATTTATATTTCTGCACACAAAGAATCCAATCAAAACTCAAATCCCATTTGTTTGTTGCAAGAATCAAATTCACACTTGTTGCGGGAAGCAATTATTTAAGTGATACTTCTCATCGATTAGAGCAATGCATTGAGGGCTGATTCTTACTTAAAGAAAAAGCTAATATAGAGTGTGTTTTTTGGATTACGAGAAAAATCTATAATCAGGCTCTATTTGGCAGAGCTTATAACTTATTTTAAACTACTAATATGCTATAAGCTATGTTTCGTAATGTTCTCAAAATAAGCTCATAGCTTAAAATAAGAGCTTATTTTGGAACGCTACTTTAAGTAGCGTTTCAAAATAAGCTCCTAGCTTCCTAACTTTTTTTTTCCACCATTATCCTTATTATTTTTAAAAAATGACATAATTTACTCTTCCCCATTAAAACCCTTTTTCTCTTCTCTTTTATTATTATTATTATTATTATTATTATTATTATTATTATTATTATTATTATTATTATTATTATTATTATTATTATTATGAGATTTGCAATAATATTGCTACTTCATTATGATATGCTAGATCATAATTATGATAATAGTTTTATTTCAAAATGTTAATTTTTTAAAGACAATGTTAAATTTTAATATGTAAACAAACTAATTTAAATTTTATGAAGATGCCATTTTTAGTCTTTTTACATTTATCAGCCTATCAAAAGGCTAATTTTACCAAACACTTTCAATCATAACAGCTAGCTTAACAACTCTACAGTTTTCAGCTCCGAGCTTATAGTTTTTAAGCTTTCAGCTCATTTTCAGCTTTCAGCTCCTAGCTTATAGCTTTTCAGTTAGGTTTGCCAAACAGAGCCTCACTATCCGAGAGTATGTATTAAGTATACCCTGCCTTGTGAGCCTACTCGGCAAATAATCATAATGAGGTAAATCAGTATAGATTGTCCACAACTAACAGGTTCAAACCAAGAAGGCCATAAGTCACTCATATTGAGACTCAAAATTGAGATCTAGCTTGTAGTTTGTAAGTCAACTATTGATCAACTTGTAAGAGTAATCATCTTATATTATAGATTTATAGTTATATTAATATATCACTTATCAATTGTCCAAAATTAGTTATGCATTTTTAGTGAATACTGTAATTAATAATAAGACATGTGATAAGTATGACACTTTTTTTTTTTTTATTTATCAATTATTTTAAAATTAAATACTTATGTCAGAATTAACCAAATAAAAATACTAATTGTAGTCATGCATATACTTTCGTCATTATATTAGATCTTGACCGAGTAAAGAGGGAAAATAACAATTTAAAAGAATGAATCCCTCTCCAAAGTCTTGAGCTAATACTGAGGTAACTTGGTGTCAATATATACCGATATATTTTATACCAGATACAACTATAGATAATATGTATAGTTATATGTATGCGGATAAATATAGATAATATATACTTGATATATAAAATTGTACTTAGTATAGAAAGCATTGATGTCTCAAAACCGTAGAAATTATTATCGTTATTGATAAAATAAAAATGTGACAAGGTGGGAGTTAATTTGTGGTCATGAACATTTAGGGTTTGGGTTTGAATTAGGCTCCATGTTGAGTAAAAATGTACAGTTTAATACTGAGTTACGAATATATATATATATATATCGAATCGATTTACTTACGCATAGGTACGAGAGCAGATTCATGAGATTTAAAAGATCAGAATATAATATGGCGAGTCAAGAAATTTAGACCCGTACGGGTTCAGTAGGTAGTATTTGGATGAAGAAACCAATCTTCGAACTTCGGCAACGACAATGTGAGAATTATATATGGCTAAAGTGAGTAGATCCCTTGTGCGCACCAGTACCCTGTCTAACGAGTCATTGAATCACCGTAATTTACATCTTCCCAAATACTCTATTGGGTCAGGATGTAGGGGTCCTTGATTGTAGATTCAACATTTTGAAAGAAGAAATTTGAATTAAAAAAGTGTTAAATAATTGAAGACGATAAAGGCATGCGTTGAAGATTGGAATGGAAGGCAAAAGACAGTAATACAGTATATTTATATTCTACGACTCCTTATAGTAAGGTTTGCATTTATGTAGGAGGGAGAATTGAAGAAGTTAAGGTAAAGAAAAGAAGATAAATAAATGAAAAGGTTTCCGAAATTGAGGTACGACAACCTCGGGAAGAAGCAGGAAGCTGCCGGATTCTTACCTTATCATTGGTCCCCCCCATTGGCCATTTCCATTCTCCAATCCTCATCGCTAATCACCCATACTTATCAATGGCTACTTTATGTTTTCGTCTTCGTCACTAAAGAAATCGTATCACAGTTATCCCATAATTGAGAACTTGCATTTAAAGCATACTTAACTTTTAGTGTTAAGATGGACTTTATGCTTAATTTGTATCTATGTGACTCTTTTTTAGGAAAAGTCACATAATCGAATTCTGGTGATGGGTATTGATTTTTTAGAGTTTAGAGAAAGTATATTAAACAGATATTACATTGTAATAACATTGATAATACTCAAAAAAATACAATCAAAATAAAAACAATCATTATATATATGAGGTAATAACTTCTCCAAGATGGAAGCTTTTTTCGAATTTTGTGTTCATTCTCACAAGAGGAGATGGAGCCTTTGTTGTAGCCTCCAATGGCCCCCTCGGGTTTGTGCTTGATCTCCTACTGGCGGAAGTAATGACCTGTAAGTAAGTGTTCTCGTGGTTGAAGAATAATAAGTTGGACAATGTTCTGGTGGAAACAAAAGATCAAAGTTTATATATACTACTGATTTATTAAGTTGGCCAAACTCTTAACTTACCTAGTTTTTTGTTTATCGTGATTGCGTCTTGTTGCTAAACACTATTTATTCTTGTTCTATGAGGCTCATTTGTAGATGAACGAATTGACTTGCTCATACTTTGAATAAAGCAATTGATTCTCAAGCTCCCCACCTAAGTGTGTATATCGCATCTTATACTCATTAATAAACTCTCAATTTTGGTAAAAGAAAATTATGTTATATCAAATGAAACATATATTTGTGCGTAAGGGGCCAACACCTCTTGATCTTATTCCAATAGTTATATCATGAATCAATTAATATTCAGCATGCACATTGTAGATCATATATAAATTATGTACATATAATTAGCATATTATGTACATTCAATTACGTTAATATACTTGTTGCAGTTAATGTATTATGCACCTTTAATTTATTTACATGTACATAATCTGTTAATTAAAAATATATAACACCAAATTGTCAATGTTAGAACTTATTCCACAATATAATTTGTGCTCTTATTCTGGATATTATATTGTATAACAAAATTTACAATACGCATTATCTACACTGGTCTAAATTATGTATTTATAGTTAATGTATTAACCTTAGGTCCAAGAGATTATTAGAAAACTCTTTTCTTTGGTTTATTTGGGGAAGGAAAGAAATTGAATTGCATACAGCTGTTGTATGTATATATTATGTAGAAAATTTATATTATTATTATACCTAACACTCTTTTATATAATTTGTATTTTTTTGAAGTTATATGTTTCTTATTTTTATCATGAATAAAATATACAGTACAATTTTCTTAAACATATTTCATTGTAATAGATACATACATATAGCCTAATTTTTTTTTCATTGAATTGTACTTGATATAAGATGTATTAAGATACTGTTTTGATTGAATTTACAGTATCATGAGACGACCCCAATTAAATTAATTAGACAATTAATTTAATAATTACAAAATTTTAAGTTTGGTTTTCTGAACTAATTAACTATGAACAATTTAGATTGATTTAATTTATTGTAGTTTTTTACCAGACTATGCTACCTTCAGATAGGGGTCGGGTATTGATTTAGAATTGACAAGTCAGAGTGGGTGGAAAGATTTATAATTTGGAATATATTGGTGTAGAGAAGGGTGGTCCTTTACGTAAGCCTCTCTCCATTTTGGAAAGAATGATAATGATCGCCGCCATCATCATCAGCCGCACAGCTGGCCGGTTTCGTCTAAATTTTATGTTCATTATCATCACCATCATCACTTAATTGATTTAATTTTAAGTTACGAAAAATTGATTTTTTTCCAAAAAAAAAAAAATGTGAGAAAAATTAAAGGAGGCCAATCCAGAATCCAGAATATTTTAAAGTGGGATTAGTTGGGGAGCAAGTGATAAACATCACTGTCAAGTGCATTTAAGAGCCACCCTTTTATACGACGCCGTGGTTGGTAGGGGCCCAAAATTGTCTGCATGCATAATCTATATATTTCGTACCAACTCTGGGTTATAACTTATTGTAAACTACTAATAAATTATTAAAGCATAATGCAACTAATCAACTAATTTATTCACTTCTGATACAGTCAGTTAACAGCCATTTTACCAAACATGGTCATAGATATAAAGTCAAAATTTTAACCTATCGAACTAATTGATAACTGATATATATATATATATAGAAGAGCGCTCATATGCGGCGGGGTCTTACCGTGCGGCGGTGCGGTCAAATTCCATAATACACCAACAGTGTAATAAAAACACACAACAATGAAATGCAATAAAACATCACAAAATACACAACAGATTCAAAAAAATACACCATATAACTCACCACCCCCAATGGTGTATTTCCGAACAGTACATGGTGTTTTTACTCACACCTAATGGTGTGTGTTTGGTGATGCAGGACTCTGTTTACTCTGTTTTGTGTGGTGTATTTTCCTAACGTTGATGGTGTATATTTGTTGAACTATTAGTGTTGCCGCACCGTAAGATACTGCCGCACCTGAACCCGCCTATATATATATATATATATATATATATATATATATATATATATATATATATATATATATATATATATATATATATACACGCGTGTGTGTAAAAAAAAACCTTAACTCTAACCATAGTTAACAAGAACTCTTCTTTCTTAGCAAGCGTCAATCCTTTCATCATCAAGGATGCGTTGGAGAGGGGTAGGAAGGAACTCCATTGTCGATCTTCACTCCATAAACATTTTGAATTTGATAGTAAAGTTGGCCAACCAATCTACCGCTTTATTTTGTTCTCTAAAGATATAATTAATTCTGATTTCTTCAAAATACCTTATCCCCAATCAACATGCTTCTTGTGTGTTACCAAAATAAATTCAATTAATTAAATAGCGCAACCTTACACTATAACGTACATATTGTTTTTACATGTATTTTTGTGTATTTACACATAATAGTATACCACAAAAAATATGATAACTTTGTATCCAAACATTATAATTTTGAGATAATTAAAATTAATAATTCAATCTAGGGATTAACTTTTAACATTCTTTTTCATACTATACTATACTCACATCCCGTAAAATACAATTAATTTAATTAAATCTTAATAGAGATAACTCTTCTTAAAACTAACTTTGAATGGAGAGAGCATTGCCACTTAATTGTCCATTACCATGGCTTCCGCTTTGGTAGTTGGAGATTTGGAGTTTATTTATACATATATTTAATTTGCCGGCAAAATACACGCAGTGAGGTGTACTTAATACTCCTTGGTATACTGTATACATTACATCACTGTCCGTCCGAGGCTGATCACCCTTCACCACATAGTACAACATTAATGGCTACACACAAACATAACTCCAACAATGAAACCAACTATGATTGGGATATTCAGAGGTTGCAATGGTATGTCCTGTCTGTCCTTATTTTTCTTGAAAATCTCTCCGCCTTCATCACTCTCTCTCTCTCTCTCTCCCATGGCTGTGGTGACCACTCTGACAAAAGAATCTTTTTTTTTTTTTTTTTTTTTTTTTTTTGTTCTCTCTTCCTTCTTCTGGGTTTTGCTGAAATAGTGAAATTGCCACACGTTTAGGTTGTTATCTTATCTCTGAAGCATTACAGCCTTCTGTTCTTGGTTTACGAATCATAAAGTTTTAATCTTTTTTTATTTTTTTGGTTCTGGGTGCCTTTCTTCTTCAGTTCTTCTCCTCCTTCTAAATTCTAATTGTCAATGGTAAAACTTCTGTTTTTGTCTCTTCTTCTTCACATGCAAGCTGTTGCAGAGTTGCCCATGCCCATTTCTCTCTCTCTGCATTTTGGGTTTTACTAATTTCTCCAGAAAATACTCAAATAGCAGTAATCAGAAGCTAGTTTTGCATGCAAAAGTATAATTCTTTCCTAAACCAATTTCCCAAAACTCAGTTCTCCAGTATCTGCTCTCTAGTCTCTAACCAGAGATGTTGTTTACAGTTTTTTTTTTTTTTTTTTTTTTTTTTTTGGGTTTTGTTTTAAAGATAATAAATTTAAAGTTGGGGTTGGTTAAGTTCAATAATTTTATCATTTTTTTTTTCTTTTATGTTCTTTGTTCATGTTAATAAATGCTGGCTGAAAAATCTGATATCTGTATTTCAATTGCTTTTGCAGTTAAGGGAAAGTCGGCTGTGGACCAGTGAAGGCGGTTTATAGTTGCTAAATTCTTGGGTGGTATTCAATTTTCAAGAATTTTCTCCCCTAATCCACAGTTTAAACTTTTCAAGAAATCCCCATATCTCAAGCCTTTCTGGTAAAAGTGATTTTCAGTTATGCAGAATTTAAGAAAACCTGATTATTTCAGGTATATGGGATATGGCCCTTTTTAGATGGCCAGGGAAAAGGGGGGATTTTCTGCAATTTCATGTGATTGTGGTGAGGAGTAGGTTGAAAGCATTAAGGCTTTGACAAATTCATTGGAAGCTTGTGAGTGGGGTTCCTCTTTTTACCCTTTTTTTTCCCTGTCCTTTTTGGTTGAATTATGATGATTTGTGGAGAAAAAATGGAGCCTTTGAACCAGAGATCTCTGGAGAGAGTTGTTTCCCAGAGAGCTCTTCAAATGGGGAGTTCATTCCCCTGTCAAATTTGCGTGGTTGGTTTCCTCTCTGGGATTTGCCTTACCTCATTGTTCATGGCTGCTCTCACCTCCTTTGGTGCCTTTGAGTTTGGTGCAATCTCGTTTTCGCCCGGTTTTCTCGCCTCAAATTCAACCTCCAGACTCATAGCTGGTGTTTCCAGTTAAGTTCTTCTGGTGTTCATCCATTTCTGGCATAGTTTCTTGAAAGATAAAACGAAATTGCGAAAGACAAATTGTTTTTAATGTGCAATTATTGTAGGTTGAATTGCTTTTCTTGGAGTCTTTTTTCTATGCTTTAAATTATTGTTCCTTAAACTATTTGTGAAACAGGTTGTCTATATTCTAACTCTATACTGTTGATTGCTTGTAACATGCAATTGCTTAAGTGTCTTTGTTATCTTTTAGCACATTTGGCTGATAGTGATAACATACATACATATATATATTCTATACACAATATGTCATCAAATGCTTGTTTGGCTGTTGATCATACGTTTCCTTAAACTATTTGGGTCAAAAGTTGAGTGAATATGAAGTGACTTAAAGTCGGAGCAAACTTCAGTTGAAATTCTACTCATTTACTTTGAATTAGTCCACAAATTTGTGGAATTTGCCTTACTCTACAAGTTTCTTTCGTGAATTTACAGTCTCGACTTTAGAGGAATTATCATTGTTTCTTTAGTATATCATTAATGGAGGTTGTTAAGAACTTGGTCCACTTGCTCCTAGTAGAAATGGACTGGAAAAGTCAGAACTGTGTAACCAAGAAGTTGATTGTGTTGAGCATATAACCATTAATCTAACTATCAGCTTAGGCTTTTAGTTGGGATGGACATGCTTCAATTTGGTATTTTCGAGTAAAATTCCTGTTCTGTGTATATGTTGTTGCAGGTGGTGACTGTGATTTTGTACAGAACGAAACACGGGTTTGGATTCATTCACGAGAAACGATCATTGTTAGCGAGGAGGATGAAAGAGTGTCGTCTTTGTACTCAGAATGGAGTGATTTACTGCATCAGTCGACTAGTGAAGATGGGTTATCGCCAGGCAAAAGTATCCCGAAAGCCCCTCACCTCGAGAACTGCAAGCTGAGCGCCAGAATATATGAACGTCTTGATAGTCGGGCTGAGAACGAAAGCTTCCCGCCATGGACTATTTGGAAGGGAATGTTGGATAGCCTGCCATTGTCAACACCCGAGGAGCAGCAGCTATGGTATTATAGACACAACGCGATTTCTCAAGGAGCTTATCCTCCCTGGGTACGTGACAAATGCACACTAACATTGCGTTAAAGCCATGTAACAATGTTCGATTTAACAACAAATAAGCTCGATTGCAGATAAAAGGCTCGGATGAAGAGAACTACCCCTTGACGAGGAAAGTGCAGCGCGACATTTGGGTCCACCAGCATCCTTTGAACTGTCGGGATCAAAGGGTGAAGTTTTTGGTAGCCGATTGGGAGAGGCTCCCGGGGTTTGGCATGGGAGCCCAGTTTGCAGGGATGTGCGGGCTTCTTGCTATTGCAATTAACGAGAAAAGGGTACTCGTTACAAACTACTACAACCGGGCTGACCATGATGGTTGCAAAGGTATATATGTTGAGGATAACCATATCACATTTCTGTATATGTTATACCTAGTATATAGATAAACTAAATGGCCAGCTTATTTGTAACTGATTGCTTAGGCTCATCGCGTTCTAGTTGGTCCTGCTACTTCTTTCCCGAAACATCACAAGAATGCAGGGAACGTGCTTTTGAGCTTATGAAACAGAAAGAAGCGTGGGATAAAGGAATCGTAACAGTGAAAGAAAATTATACCTCGAAAGAGATATGGGCAGGGCGGGTTCCGAGGTAAGTTTGAGCTTAATTTTGCTTCATTTAGCACTGCACCAAGTCACAAGAAACCTTTTAATAACTTGATTATGGTAACACCTCATTGCAGGGTATGGGGCAGTCCTTGGAGTTACCTTCAGCCCACCACAGAGGTAAACGGGACCCTAATTTCTTATCACCGGAAAATGGACCGGAGATGGTGGAGGGCTCAGGTAAGAGCCAATATTGATCAGCAGATGTAATTTCTGTCTATTAGTAGAGTTTCAGTAGTTAAACATCATGTTCTTGAATGTACTCTGCCTATGTTGAAGTAATGCTTTGTGCTCATGTGTGCTAGATTGTAGATAAGGACACAAGCCTTGACAACCATAGTGTGGGGGGCTCGTTACGGACACAAGGCACTGGCCCTTCCACCTAATGGGTCACTGAGCCACCGTGATTTACCCATCCACTATTCTGTGGGGCCCGGGGCCTCTTTGAGCTCTCCTTGACAACCATAGTGTGGGGGGCGGGCCCTCTCACCTAATAGGTCACTGAGCACCGTGATCTACCCTCCACTATTCTGTGGGGCCTGGGGCCTCTTTGAGCTCTCCCTGACAACCATAGTGTGGGGGGCTAGTTATGGATACAAGGCACTGACCCTCCCACCTAATAGGTCACTGAGTCACCGTGATTTACACCTCCACTATTCTGTGAGGCCCGGGGCCTCTTTGAGCTCTCCCTGACAACCATAGTGTGGGGGGCTCGTTATAGATACAAGGCACTGGCCCTCCCAACTAATGGGTATTCTGTGGGCCCCGAGGCTTCTTTGAGCTCTCCCAGACAACCACCTTGTGTGGGGCTCCTTATGGACACAAGGCAGTGGCCCTTCTACCTAATAGGTCATTGAGTCACCATGATTTACTTCCACTATTCTGTGGGGCCTGGGGCCTCTTTTGTGGAACATCAACATTGAGCTCTCTTTAGAGACCTTCTTGTTTATTCTCATCTCAAGTGGAAATTTTGTTTCACTGAAATAAAGAAATTACTATGTTCTTACAATTTTTGCAGAAAAATTTAAGGGTATATTAGTGCTGATTTGTATGCATATTTACCAGGCAGTGCGGTATCTGATGAGGTTTCAGACAGAGTACACATGCAGCTTACTGAACATTGCAAGGCATTCAGCGTTCGGACAGGAAGCAGCAAAAATGGTTCTTGAAACGCCAATCAACGATTCTCCAGAGGCGAAACATGACATAGAAAAATTCGTATGGTCAAGTCATAAACCATGGATCCCGAGGCCATTGCTCATCATGCACGTTAGAATGGGAGACAAGGCGTGTGAAATGAAGGTGGTTGGGTTTGAAGAGTACATGCAACTTGCAGAGCGTATAAGAAAAACCTTCCCCGAGCTGAAAAGCATCTGGCTTTCTACTGAAATGCAGGTATTATAGGTTTTGAGCATATAACTATTAATGTGTAATCCAACTATCAGCTTAGCCTTTTAGTTGGGATGGAGCACATGCTTCAATTATAGGGTATTCCTGCAGCTCGCTTCTTTTCCTTCACATTCGTCTTTGATATATTTTTCGTTCAAATTTGACGCTCAGGAGGTCATTGATAAAACGCGGATGTATCCCCACTGGAAGTTTTACTACACAAACGTCACCCGACAAGTGGGAAACATCACAATGGCAACTTATGAAGCCAGTCTCGGCAGGGAAGTTAGCACGAACTATCCTCTTGTCAATTTCTTGATGGCCACCGAAGCTGATTTCTTCACCGGGGCGCTGGGATCAACTTGGAGCTATCTCATCGATGGCATGAGGAACACCGGGGGAAAAGTCATGTCTGGATACTTAAGCGTTAACAAAGACCGGTTTTGGTAGCGCCATGAAAGATAACTCTCAAGTTTTCAGCACAGCACATTTTGTTGGAGCAGTTGCTTGCTGGTTATCTATCATCTATGCATTAGCCAAAATGAGATAAGAGGCAACAGAAAGGTACATATTGTAAAGTATTAACAATGATATTTTTACCTGTAAAAAGTTTCTTACATATGTAGTTATGTATCAATGTATCATCATGTTTAAGTACTTATATAATTTATGTATAAAAGTTCCCTGCAAATTCAAAGACCCTTTTTTTTAGATGACGAGAGAAACCTATAATTACCACATAGATAAATACTACCTTGTGATCCTAGCTGGTAAAAGACCGAAGTAAACCAATCTAGGTTGTTCATAGCTGACCGACTCAAACTGAGAAGGCTTATACAACCCTAACTGGCAAAAGATCATAAGAAGGTAAAATCAGTCTAAATTGTCAATAGCTGACCGACTCAAACTAAGAAAGTCAATAAGCCGCCCCTAATGGCAGTCGAACTTGTAACCTTTTAATTACCATGTCAACAGTATAACTAACTTAGTTAAGATTGACCCGAGAGCTTTATTCAACAGCTGGGAAGGGGATAGACTTAAACTGCAGAGGTAGAATTTTTCTATATTGAAAGTCTGGTGTGTCTGTCACTGTTAGTCTCTGCTTAGAAGAGAATTCAAGTAGAAAAGGGGAACTGAAAATGGATACATTTGAAGCATTACTCAGAAATTGAGCTTAGAAACTATGGAAGGTGAGATCTTGTTCTGATTTTTCACATTCAATAACAATACAACAACAGCGGGAAGGCGAAAGATGATCTTCTAAAGCAATAACAATGGAATCTAGCACTATTGTGGAAAGCCTCTAATAGCCATACAAATGAAAAAAAAAAAAAAAAAAAAAAAAAAAAAAAGGGGGTCAAACATGCAAGAAATGAGCAAACTTGATTCTCTGTTTGCACTATTCTTCAGTATCCTCACTCACCTGGCGCCCGCCTTCTGGATGTCTAGCAGTGCTTTGTTTTTTATGCTTCTTGCTCTTTGCTTTCTTCGCTTTCATCCTGCGCTTCTTCTCGTTGGCATCGACCCAGGAATAATCGGAGGGTATGTGAAAAGGGTCAATCTCTTCTCTGAAGCTTCGGCCTTCACTGTCACTAGATTGTGCACCGCGGCTCCCTCTCATCCATGAAATCCACGAGTTTGAACTCTCTGATTCCTTGGATTTGGCATCTTGGAAATGCGCAGGGCTTGACATCGGAGTTGAGAACTCTTCCACTGGCTGAAGCTCCTCAAATTTTGTGAATGTAACAAGAACTCGAATGGTCGGTACTATCGGGATTGCAAGCTGAGTGCAAAAATCATTTTGTTAGCATAACGCAATCCATTTCTTACTTTTCCACAGAATTCAGTAACAAATCAAAACAAAACATTGAGTTCTAGTTCTTACTGGCAAGACTAAATTGGGATACTGAAATATCTCAATGCATTCATAAAATGTTGTTCATACATGTTAGTATGCAAAACCCAAATCCTAGTTACTTTAAAGACCAAGAATATAGCAACTCTGGGGCTACCCAGCCAAGCTGGTCAGACTGTGGCTTAGAAACTAAAAAGGTCACCGGAAAAGGCCTCACACGCCCCCACACGTCGGTGCGTGGTCACCAGAGCTCCGGTCAGCGACAACACGTGGAGGCTACGTTGGTCGCTGTGCTTCCTCCGGCGGCGTCGCCTCCTTGAGCCGATCAATGCCCACTGGGCTCTGATACCAAGTTAATAAATAAAACTTTGTATATATTTCTCTTACTTCTTCTTTAACTACATTACACACACTGCCATATATATGCATGCTAAACACAATGTGAAGGGTCTTCTACATTGTGTTTAGCATGTATATATATGGCAGTGTGTGTAGTTAAAGAAGAAGTAAGAGAAATATATAAAGAGTTTTATTTATTACCTGACTCCCAGTGGGAGCGGCCTATTAGCCTTCTTGGTTTGAGCCGGGCAGCTTTCGGCAACCTAGGCTGGTTTACCTCCTTGTGGTTCTTTGCCGGCTAGGGTTACAAAACAAGGTTTACCCCGTGCACACTATCGGGTAGTGGCTACGAGTTTCCTTCATCACCCCCGCCCCCCGCCCCCCACCCCCCCCCCCCAAAAAAAAAAAAAAAAAAAAGAGAATATAGCAACTCTAACCTATTAATCATTAGATAATCAACAAAAATTTTGGAATTACATTTATGGATGTCTTGATTAAGGATGGAAAAGTTATAATGCCATGTCTTTGAATCTTTGATGATAAGTGATGTGATGATCTCAAACAATCAAACTAGCTTTATCAGTTATCACACTAAAAATGATAATTAGCTTAGATCTAAAATTATACGGCAATGGTAGTGGTAACTTATAAATGGGCATTATTAACTATATATCATACCAGGAATTCAGCAATAATGTCTAATTCTTCTATATATTTCTAAATTTGCTTTCCACAGTGACTGTTCCTCATTGAAGCAAAAGATGACTAAAAAGAATGCTAATCAAGAAACAAAGAGCAATAAAAGCATCGGCAAATATATCAAGATCAAAACATACCTTAACAGGAAATGTCCCGGTTGGCAGCTTTGTCGTTAATAGCTCCCTAAGCCTTCTGACTGCTTTTACCTTGTTTGCTAATATATCAAGCAAGGGCAAGAGTTCTTCGGTTTTCAATGGGAAATCAGGTGTCAACCACAGAACAGGTCTTAAGCCCTTTTTATATTCACTCTCGTTCTTTGACTCACTTGTTATCCCTTTTTTCTTCTTCTTCTTACCACTTTTATCTTTGCCCTTTCTAACCTCCCCCGTATCGTCCTTACCGACATCTGAGGATGATCGGTGACTATCATTGGGCCTTGGTTTTCCTTCTTCAGGAGCCAGTTTTGAGAACTTCCTAACAATCTTTGAATCTTCGGGATCGTCACTAGCATTCTTTGAACTTTTTCTATTCCAACCAAACCAACTTTTCTTTTCTTTAGCCACACCATTGGATTCACAGCTCTCAAACGAAGCATCATCGTAAGTTTCATGACAATCCTGACTTTCGGGTTCCTCGTCCTCTACAAGTCCATCTGGATTACCCCGAAGTGCTGAATCTAACTGCATCCTTTCCTCAGCTGTTAATACATCATCGTACTCACTCTGCTCAGCGCCATTTCCTATCTTGTCATCATCGTTCACGGAAAAAAGCTCCTCATCTGTCATTGCACCCGGAACCCGCCTCGACTTCACACTGACCATCACATGAAGCATATCATATACCTTGGCTTTCCAAGAACCAACCATTTCTGTCCTCTCCTGCCGCCTCCAATTCAAGTGGGGTACAAGTTCGGCCTGAGTGACATCTATACCAGGCCGATACATGTTTGTTTGAGACATCAACGCCACTTCATGAGCAACTTCGGATTCCGTTGGTTGCACGCCAGCTCCCTCTAAAGCATTAGTTATTTCTTTCTCCTTGTGGGCAAGCACAATCAATGATCCAGGGGGCAAAGATGTATTCCCGTCTTCCGATGAGTACCCCTCTCCGAGGAAGAGAAAAGTTTGATCTGATCGTTGGATACGAAACCCATCAAACCCTGCAAGGGTCATATCTGCACGGAGATTAGAACCCCTCTTCCAAATCCGATACGTATCTGAGGGTGCAATCCTACCAATAAACGGTATAACTGAGCTCTCGAAATGAAACGTTATCTCCATGTAAAAATCACGGATTCGGGCTGCTGAAGCCACAATCCTAGGAAGCCTACGACACCACTTCGCCCAAGCAAGAGGCTGGTAATGCCTCGCAATAATCATAGCGATATTCTCCTCCCTCGTACACACAGCCTCCTGAAGCGCACTCCATCCGTGCTCGTTCTGAAGGCTCCAGTCAGCACCCGCTGACATCAAAATCTCGGCTGAGATAGGGTCCTTTAACCTAACAGCAAGATGCAAAGGCGTCTCCCGGCCCGGGACATCTCGCCTATCAATCACTGCAGACACAGCATCAGCATGAGTCTCAGCAGCCAGAGACTGAGCCTCAGTCTTCACCTCCCCAGCCTTGGACAATTTAGGCAACATCGAAACAATCTGCTTTAAAGCCGCATAATCTTGCCTTGCCACTGCCAAATGAGCAGGACTATGAGCATATCTGGACCAGTCTTCCATTCTTTGCCTGATTTCCAACCTTTCCGGTTCAAAATTTCTCCAATTAAATCACAATTCCGCCATTTCCTCCAAAACCCCAACTCCAAGGTGAGACCTTGCAGCAGAATCCTCAAGAATCTCTAAGGTTTTGCCAAACCCCAGAAATCCCAGATCAAAGCAGTGCCAATATCCAAACTTCAGTAACCCTAATCCCAGCTCCAAATCTGAAAAACAACAAAACAAAACCCCCTAAACAATAAAGAAACCCCCAAAAAAGAACCAAATCCCCGATCCGGGTCCTAGCTCTTTTGCTCCGTCAAACCCACATCTATACTTAAATCGATAAGCAAGTTAAAAACAACAGAGAACCAAGTTTAGGAGAAGTACGTACCACAGATAGATCGAACTATGGAATGATGCTTTCTAGAGAGAGAACGAAATGGAGTAGATCTTCTCCTCTCTCTCTCTCTAAGATAGATACAGAGTTGTGTACGTATAGAAGGGCTGATGATTACTAGCACGGGCTTTTTAAGCAGCCAAAAAAAAAATTGCTTTTTTAATTTTTTTTTTTTCTTTTCACTTTTGCTTTGTGTTGTTCTTCTTCACTGCTATTTCTCTCTAATCCCCAGCGCAGCACAACACAGCACCTACTACTCCACCACCACTGGGCACTGGCTCCCCCCTGCTCTGCTGTTTCTGGAGAGAGATTTATGTTTTCGCCCCTCGATTTTCGACTATTTACGGGATTGCCATTTACCATTTGCCTTCTCCTCTCTCTAACCCCCTCGCACTACTCTGCAACCTCCGCTGGACCTGATGCTGACATACCTTCTCCCCTCTATTCTCTTTTTCAATTTTTACATTTTTTTTTAGGGTAATTGAAATTTTGATTTTAGTAATTGAGTTAATATCGGATTTAGTCTATAATTTTAGTGATATTTTAAAATTTAGTCGTTAACAAAAAAATTGACTATATTGGATAATAATAGATAATAAAGAGTGAAATTTACAGACTCATATATACATAAATAACAACTCAACAGGGTAGCTCAAGTGGCAAATGAGCTCTCTTTGTGGCGGAGAATTCTGGCGATTCC